GATTTTATTTATTTATTTTTTTGCCACATCCTTTTCTCACCTGCATTTTCTCTGAGTTGGTAGATTAGATCTAGAGGCTTGATGTGATTCTGTTTCTATTTTGGAAGAGAATTAAAGAAAGAAGAGACACAGATGTTTAAAGGCTACACTTTGCTTGGTCTATTTTTACCTGGCATATAACTTCCTATTTAAAGCTTCTCCTGAGATGTCTAAAGCGATCCGCTTGCTGAAGACTCTACATTCATATTTTGGGTTTATATTTCTCCCAGGCATCATGGGGAGGTGGAAACTTGACCTGGGTGCCTAACAGACATCTCGGAGTGGACATGTCCAAAGTGAAGCCTTTGGCCGCACTTCCAATGTGTGGCTCCCATCTTCCCTGTCACAAATGGCTCTACGTGAAACCCCACAGCTATCTCTGACCCCTCTCTTCCACTAACCCCATCACCAACTCCAACCGCTGTTGCGTTTACTTCGTCTGCCGGTCCTTATTTCTGTGAATAATACCATCTTAAGTAAAATCTCAGTTACTGAGAAACAACTGACCTATTTCAGAAGTCTACAGCTTCTGAAATGCTGGACACCTGCAGTCCACTCTCTACCAGGGACAGCGCTATCCATATTGAAATACTCATCAGGGTCGGGAAGTGATTGTGAGCTGTGTGGTGACTTAATCTCTGCCTTTTTGTATATGCTCAACATTTTAAAAATTATTCGGATCAATTATATATTCTTACTCTTCATGTTTGCTGACTTCCCAGTGCTCTTGGATTGAAGATTCCAAGAGTCTTATTGAGGACTGGAAGCCTCTGTCTGTTTTCTGCCTAGATGCCCACCCTCCTCTGATGCCAGTCTTCCCCTTGCCCACTCTGCCCACAACTTTTGAAAAAACCCAAACTTAGCCAGGCAGTGGTCGGTGGCACACTCCTTTAATCCCAGCACTCGGGAGGCAGAGGTAGGCAGGCCTCTGTGAGTAAGTTCAAGGCCAGCCTGGTCTACAAAACGAGTTCCAGGACAGCCAGGACTGTTACACAGAGAAACCTTGTCTCTAAAAACAAACAAAACAAAAACAAAATAAACAAACAAACCCCCCATCTTTGGGTACATTAGGATGGTCCAGCAGTTAAGGGCACTTGCTACTCCCTCAGAGGACCCAGGTTTGGTTCCTAGCACCCACATCAGGCAGCTGACAACCAACTTTAACTCCAATTCCAAGGACTGGATGTCCCCTTCTGACCTCTGAGGACATGTGCACACCTGTGGTGCACACACAGACACACAGGCACACACTCACAAAATTACATTTAACATGAGAGTTGCTTGGGTATATTGATTAAAGGTAAAGTATGAAATGACTGATTGAATAAGCCATCCAATTTCTCTTAATTACTACTGACAAACTCAGAATCAGCCCTAGAATAAACTTATAAGTTCAAATTTGTCAGGCAAATTGACACAAGCCAGATACTGTGCCTAGGAGGAAAATCTGTTCGGGGGAGCCTTCCATGATAGTCCAGCATTGTCTAAACACCTTAAAACAAATGATACCCTATATATGAGATGTGAAAATAAGGGTGAATACTCAGGATTCAGACACCAATGTAATGACTAAAACTTACGGGGTTGGGGAAAGAGTAATCTGAACAGAAAGGAATTGCTAAATGTTGTTGTTAACAAATGACTGGCAAACCTACAGCCCAGTGGACCTGAATTAACCCTGGCACAGTACCCAGATCCTACCTGGAGGATACCTGAAAAAAATACAACCCCCACACATCAGGAAAGCACTTCAGGAAAGTGGGGAGGGGGTCCCCAGGCTGTTCCCAGGAAATCCAGGCCCTCAAACAGCCCTGTTTTGAAGTTATCTCTATGGAACTCGGCTCCCCATTTCTCAACCCTAAGACCTAAGATGTTAAAGGGGCCGGGGGTAGTCAGATAAGAACAAATCCATCTTCTATGCTTGGGACTCAGAAAACAGCAGTGGACAGCTGACCCAGAACCGGGAGACCTGACAATGGTTATGGTTGGAAGCCAATCGGGAGAGTGGGAGGTGAGTTTGCAAGCACATACACATATACACACTCCTCTCCGTGAGTGTGTGTATGTAGAGTCTTTCCTTTGCTGGTCCTTTTCCTGATGCAGTGTGACAGGATGCATAGAAATGATGTCACACCAAAGGCGAGGCTGCCTAAGCCAAGCCAGGGAGCAGGGAGCAGTTGTATGCCAGTCTTTGGAAGCCTCTGATAGCACAGAACTTCAGAACTGGAAAGTAGCTTAAAGATCATGTAATAGTCAGGCGATGGTGGCACATGCTTTTAATCCCAGCGTGGGAGGCAGTTCGAGGCCAGCCTGGTCTACAGAGTGAGTTCCAGGGCAGCCAGGGCTACACAGAGAAACCCTGTCTCAGACAAATAAACAAACAAACACAAAATTCAAGTAATAATCCAAAGCTTTCTTGTACTGTTTTTCTGAGTCAGTGTCTGGCTATACAGCCCCAGGCTGGCCTCACACTCAATAATCCTCCTGCCTCTGCAGCCTTTGTTCCTAAGCACACAGCCATGTCTGCCTGCTTACCAGGACCACAGTTATAAATGGGTGAGACTGAGGCTCTGATGTGTGGCCTCAAATATTCTTTCTCAAATATTTCCTAACTTGGCGGGGCAAATCTCACTTTACATCACCAACCTATTGTTTTCATTATAGTAAATCCTTTTGCTGTTTATTTTATTTAATTTATTTAATTATTTTGAGACCTCATCTCTGGTTGGCCTGGAATTCAGTATGTAGACCAGGCTAGCTTTGGACTCACACAGATCTGCCTGCCTTTGCCTCCCCGGTTCCGGGATTAAAGGCATGTGCCAGCACACCTGGGCCTCTTGTTATTTTTTTGAGGCTGTCTTTTCAAATTATTATTTGCTGTTCCTGAGATAATGAGGTTCAGTTTTCTTGCATTGAGGTTTTTTTTTCCTTAAAACCACTCAACCAACACATCAAACTACTGGTAAATAAATGAAATATATATATGGTAATGTTTTATATATATACACACATATACATACACACATATATACATACATACACACACACACACACACACACACACACACACACACACACACACACGGTAAATGTACTATTTGCATTACTTTCAAGTGTCCTTTGCCTTTTGGAATGCTAAGCTGAAGTTGGGTTAATATCTGCACGTTGTTCCATTTAGATTCCTTGAAAACTTGTAGCCAGGCGGTGGTGGCGCACGCCTTTAATCCCAGCACTCGGGAGGCAGAGGCAGGCGGATCTCTGTGAGTTCGAGGCCAGCCTGGTCTCCAAAGCGAGTACCAGGAAAGGCGCAAAGCTACACAGAGAAACCCTGTCTCGAAAAACCAAAAAAAAAAAAAAAAAAAAAAAAAAACTTGTAGAGCTGATGGTGTGAGTAAAAAACACTTTAAAAAAAAGGGGGGGGGGGCGAACCTTATTTTCCCTCCTAAGTAGATAATGCATGCTGTCAGCAGCATACTGTAAAACGCCAAGAGCAGGCCACCCCCACCTGTAGCTAGTTTTCCTGCCTGGCCCGCGGTCAGGGCAAATCTCTCTCACCTGCCAGTTCCACAGCCGCTCAGACCCAACCAAGTAAACACAGAGACTTATATTGCTTACAAACTGTATGGCCATGGCAGGCTTCTTGCTAACTGTTCTTATAGCTTAAATTAATCCATTTCTATAAATCTATACCTTGCCACATGGCTCATGCCTTACCGGCATCTTCACATGCTGCTTCTCATCGTGGCGGCTGGCAGTATCTCTCACTCAGCCTTCCACTTCCCAGCTTTATTCTCCTCCTTGTCCCGCCTATACTTCCTGCCTGGCCACTGGCCAATCAGTGTTTTATTTATTGACCAATCAGCAACACATTTGCCATACAGAACATCCCACAGCACCCACCCCAGGCCTTATCTTCCTGTGCTATCCTGGCTTTCTTCCAACTTTACGATCTTCGGCCACCACCCACAGCACCAACCATTCCTTAAATTTTTTGTTTTGTTTTGTTTTTTCGAGACAGGGTTTCTCTGTGTAGCTTTGTGCCTTTCCTGGAACTCACAGAGATCTGCCTGGCTCTGCCTCCCGAGTGCTGGGATTAAAGGCGTGTGCCACCACCGCCCAGCTAACCATTCCTTACATTTTTTAACTGTTCACTTATTTGCATATTTATCCTGTGTGCCTATGTGTGGAAGTCAGAGGACAATTTGTGGGAACTGGTTCTCTTTACTACATGGGTTCCAGGTTATCAGGCTTGGTGGCAGGCGACTCTACTGGCGAGTCTTAGATATAAAGCTTTGCCCTCAGCCTCTAAGCATGTGAGAACTAAAGTTTCTCCAAGTGCGAGGCTGAATAGCTCTTAGTTTATCAAGTGTTTTGTGCATCACAACTTAGAACCGACCCCACAACTGGCCACGGAAAATCAGCTTCCTGCCATTCTGGGATTCATGATGTACTGACCTCATTTCTCCTTGGCTCCCTCAGTTTCCCTAGCTGCTGCTGCCGACAGCCTAGCTTGCTTGTTCAATAATTGTTCTTACCTCCTCCGAGTCCACTGTTTTGAGATATGCCCATTAGATGAAAAACTTGGAAAAACTCGATCCCTTTCCCCCCATCCCATCCCCAAGTTATTCTAAGCAGAAGAACTGTCTCCTTGTTTTTAAATGCAAGCCTAGAGGGACTAGGGATGTAGGTCACGTTGGTGGAGTGCTTGCCTAAATCCAGCACAGAAGGCGAGCCCATGGCCTTCCACTGTCCTTGCTGGGCACTCTGGGATGGCGACACCCTCCCTCTCTACAAAACCCGGGGCTGGAATGGAAGTCTACTTCCCTGCGGGGCTCCGAACACAGCCCAGCAGCTCCGGACGCCGGGCCACGCCCCCTGGCCACGCCCCCTGGCCACGTGCTCCCGCAAACGCTCCCGCCGAGCTGGTCAGAGTGGGCTGCCGAGGTGACCCGAAGGTGATCCCGGGGTGGGCGGGGCGCCCGCGCTCTCGCGAGATCTCCCCGAGGGGGCGCGGAGCTGGCGAGAAGGACGCGGCGGGGCGGTGCTTCCTCGGCTGCTCGGCTTCCAGGCGGCGGAGCCCGCCGAGCCCAGGTCTTCCACTTCCGCCGGCCGCTGCAAGGAGCGGAGCCCGAAGAAGTCGGCGGCCGCCCCGCAGCCGCGCGTCCGCCTCCCGCCCTCGCCTTCCCTCGGATTCGAGCCGGCCGTCCCAGGCTCCGCTCTGCCGAGCCCGCAGCCCACGCCGCGGCCGACATGAGCTTCTTGTTGTAAGTAGCCCGGCCGCGCGGGCTTTGTTCCGCCGCCCCCTGGGCCGCAGGCTCCCGAGGCCCTGCCTCCCCGTCCTCCGTGTGCTGCCCGGCCCTGCCTCCCCGTCCTCGGTGTGCTGCCCGGCCCTGCCTCCCCGTCCTCCCGTCTGCTGCCCGGCCCTGCCTCCCCGTCCTCCCTGTGCTGCCCGGCCCTGCCTCCCCGTCCTCCCTGTGCTGTCCGGCCCTGCCTCCCCGTCCTCCGTGTGCTGCCCGGCCCTGCCTCCCCGTCCTCCGTGTGCTGCCCGGCCCTGCCTCCCAGTCCTCCGTCTGCTGCCCGGCCCTGCCTCCCCGTCCTCCGTCTGCTGCCCGGCCCTGCCTCCCCGTCCTCCGTCTGCTGCCCGGCCCTGCCTCCCCGTCCTCCGTGTGCTGCCCGGCCCTGCCTCCCCGTCCTCCGTGTGCTGCCCGGCCCTGCCTCCCCGTCCTCCGTGTGCTGCCCGGCCCTGCCTCTCCGTCCTCCGTGTGCTGCCCGGCCCTGCCCCCGTCCTCCGTGTGCTGCCCGGTCCTGGTTCCCCGTCCTCCGTGTGCTGCCCGGCCCTGCCTCCACGTCCTCCGTCTGCTGCCCGGCCCTGCCTCCCCGTCCTCCGTGTGCTGCCCGGCCCTGCCTCCCCGTCCTCCGAGTGCTGCCCGATCCTGGCTCCTCGTCCTCCGTGTGCTGCCCGGCCCTGCCTCCCCGTCCTCCGTGTGCTGCCCGGCCCTGCCTCTCCGTCCTCCGTCCTCCGTGTGCTGCCCGGCCCTGCCTCCCCGTCCTCCGAGTGCTGCCCGGCCCTGACTCCTCGTCCTCCGTGTGCTGCCCGGCCCTGCCTCTCCGTCCTCCCTGTGCTGCCCGGCCCTGCCTCCCCGTCCTCAATTGTGCTGCCCGGCCCTGCCTCTCCGTCCTCCGTCCTCCGTGTGCTGCCCGGCCCTGCCTCTCTGTCCTCCGTGTGCTGCCCGGCCCTGCCTCCCCGTCCTCCCTGTGCTGCCCAGCCCTGCCTCTCCGTCCTCGGTCCTCCCTGTGCTGCCCGGCCCTGCCTCCCCGTCCTCCCTGTGCTGCCCAGCCCTGCCCCCGTCCAACGTGTGCTGCCCGGCCCTGCCTCCCGGTCCTCCGTGTGCTGCCCGGCCCTGGCTCCCCGTCCTCCGTGTGCTGCCCCGCCCTTCGTCCCGGTCCTCTGTGTGTATATGTGTATGTGCTTGCAAACTCACCTCCCACTCTCCCGATTGGCTTCCAACCATAACCATTGTCAGGTCTCCCGGCTCTGGGTCAGCTGTCCACTGCTGTTTTCTGAGTCCCAAGCATAGAAGATGGATTTGTTCTTATCTGACTACCCTTTAACTGCCCCTTTAACATCTTAGGTCTTAGGGTTGAGAAATGGGGAGCCGAGTTCCATAGAGATAACTTCAAAACAGGGCTGTTTGAGGGCCTGGATTTCCTGGGAACAGCCTGGGGACCCCCTCCCCGCTTTCCTGAAGTGCTTTCCTGATGTGTGGGGGTTATATTTTTTTCAGGTATCCTCCAGGTAGGATCTGGGTACTGTGCCAGGGTTAATTCAGGTCCACTGGGCTGTAGGTTTGCTAGTCATTTGTTAACACCGGCTTTAGTGTTACCTTTAGCGCTGGTCATTATTTTACATACCGTTTATTTCAGACGAATTTGAGGTGAAGTGGGGGTTGGGGCAGAAAAATGGGTCAGCAAGACTAGGGTTTGGGGTTACACCTGAAGAGTAACTCTTTTGAAAGCTTTCTTATTATTCATCTAGGTGTTTAGAAAACAAAAATAAAAACAAGCCCTTCAAGGTTATAATCCACCTTATACACCCCTTTATTGTTGTGGAGCAAACAGCATTTAGCAATTCCTTTCTGTTCAGATTTCTCTTTCCCCACCCTCGTAAGTTTTAGTCATTACATTGGTGTCTGAATCCTGAGTATTCACCCTTATTTTCACATCTCATATATCGGGTATCATTTGTTTTTAGGGTGTTTAGGCAATGTTGAACATGGACGGCTCCCCCTGAACAGATTTTCCTCCTAGGCACAGTGTCTGGCTTGTGTCAATTTGCCTGACAAATTTGAACTTATAAATTTATTCTAGGGCTGATTCTGAGTTTGTCAGTAGTAATTGAGAGAAATTGGATGGCTTATACAATCTGTCATTTCATACTTTACCTTTAATCAATATACCCAAGCAACTCTCATGTTGGATGTAATTTTGCATTGCTTATAGTCTGTTCTCAAGAATTTAAATGGGATGGTTGCTGCTGACAGGCTTGTGTCTTTTGGAATTCATAAGCTGAAGTGGTTGAAGTGTAAGAGGACCGACCATATTTGGCTGGAACTTGGTGATGAGAAAGGTTCTAGTGCTGCTGTCCTGTTTTTATGTGGCTCAGTATTAGGTGCAGATATATGGCAGGTTAGTTCATTTTTTTTCCTGATGAATATTAGCTATATAAGACAGTATTGCTGTAACTAATGTGGTCATCTAGAGACTTTGTACTATTTGGGCAACAGTTTTTTAGCAAGGTCACAAATAGAAGCTAATACACTCTCAACAGGTTTTGTCCATGGGTTTAACAATCCAGAAGAGTTAATCTCGAGAGAGCCAGGAATGATGTCACACACGTTTAATCCAGCACTTAGGCAGAGGCAGGTGGATCTGTGAGTTCAAGGTAAGCCTGGTCTACTTAGAGAGTTCCAAGCCAGCCAGGGCTAATAGTGAGACCCTGTCTAAAAAACAAATAAAATTTTCATCTGACAATTTTTATTTTATAGTTTTTTGAGCATTATTTATGAACCAACAGTGGAAGCAGAAAAAAAGTGAAAAATTAAGGAGTTAAGTACAGCTCCTCTGGTTCTTGGAGCCCTCTTGGGAAGCGCTACTGTGAGTAGATAAAGCAGAGGAAATAGGACAATGAGAGATAGGGTTAGAACATGATGAGTCGTGTCTGAGAAGGAAAGCTCTGTTGATTAGAAGCCCTACAACTTTCACTGTGCTCTAGCAGTATCATTTATGTGAGACAGACAAGCTTCCTGTGTAGTGGAGTTGGTGTTTGGGTCAGTGACCACAAGTGTTAAATGTCAGGAGATTATTTAGTGTGGAGGAACAAAAAAGGCAGGTGAGGGGCTGTTGGATGGGAGCAGGAGGCAGTCAAGGGTGACCCTGGTGCGTGCACAGGCAGTCTTCCAGAGTGATAGTACAACTTCTGCACAAACGCTCAGGATACATTTTCCGTGCATTCTGTGAAAGGCTGGCCTGAAGCTGCGGTTGTGCTGCACATGGGCCTCTGCATGTCTGCAGATGAAACTGAATCCCTCGATAGTGAATGCAGAAACTTAAGTTAGCCTTGTAGATTCATATTCTTAACTACTTCTTCAGTTATGTGGAGAGTGTGAGTACTCCAGAGACAGTAGGTGACATATCAAAGTCATCATGAAGTCCCAAAGCATAGGAAGCAGTTTGTTCTAAGTAGGTTTCAAGGAAAAAGTCGGGTGATATCTAGTGAAAGGTGAATGAGAGTTCTCTAAGAGAGAAAGAGGCAATGGGACATTTTGCTCGGGAAATGGGAAATTGCTTGTGAACTGTCCATTTTGAAGTGTGTACAAGAAGGTCTAGATTTTTGAAGTGATCAGATGGGCTCTTCGCAGTAATAGCCTCTTCCTTATTTTACTGAAGGGACAAAAATCATAGTAACCAGTTTAGGATTGCTGGCCCAGTCTTTGGAACACAGGTCTCTTAGTTTATTTCTCTTGATATTTTATGTATGTAAAATGCAGAGAAATTTAGGATAAAAGTGATTCTTGGTAATAATCAAAAAGTATATTGAATGTTCTTTGTTTCTAGCATTTTAAAATTCCTTTGAGAAATAATGAAAAAAAAAGTATAATTTCCTAATGTAAATTAGGTGTTAAAACAAATGCAATTAACTGTAGCAAAAGGTAGTTTAGGGATGTGAATAAAATGGTTTGGAAATGGAAGGAAGAAAGGAAGAAAATATATATTATTATTATTCTGGTCACCTTTCATTTTTCTTTTGCAGTAGTAAAAATGTAGGAAAAGAGATCAACATTTTATCTAAATTCATGTGTCTTTCTCCTTTATTCTTGCCCTTTTTTTCTGTGTCCCCCCCATTCTTATTTCTTGTTTTTAAAGAAATGATTCAGTTGATTTGAGTACTTTACATTTTTCATCTGTAACAGAAGTTAATAGTAAAATTGTAACTTGGTGATTGTTTACTGTGAGCCAGGAACTGAGTACTTCTTAGGTTTACTTATTTTGATTTTATGATAGGAGTGCTTTGCTTGCGTTTATGTGTGTGAACCATGTGCGTGCATTGCCTGTGGGGGCCAGATGAGGGCATTGAATCTGTGGAAACTGGAGTGCTCCGTGATTACTGTGACCTGAGCCTGGGTTCTCTGGGAGATCTGTAAGTGCTTTAGAGACCTTAGTTAAATAACTAGCAGGAATCTCGCTTTTTAGATAGGGAACCTGGCACAGGAAAGTCATGTAGCCAGTGAATGGTATAGCTAATTTGAATCTTGGAAGTCTCTAGGCATATGATCTTATGCTGCCTTGACTGTAATTGATACAACCTCCCCGACGCCGGTGCTGGCTAGGGCTCCTGTTGGCTAGGAAGGTGTTCTATCAGCGACCTAAATCCTCAGCCCGTATAGATAGATATACATATTTTTTTCAAGTTGAATCTGTTTTTCAGAGTTATCAGGTACCATGCTTGTACTGGTAGGATCCTTTTCTTAAGGTTTTGCCACCAACACAAGAGAAGACAAAGGAGAAACTTTTAAACCTATTAATATTATAGCTTATTCTTATATTAAGTTAAAATAAGTTTACTGGAGATATTACAAAATACAATTAAGAAAAGAAAGAAAATAATTCTAGATGGATATGCTGGTACATGTCTGTAATCTCTGGGAAGCGGGAGAACTGCCAGTTTGAGACCAGCCTGTAGTGCATAGTGAGACCCTGCCTCAGA